ATTTACCTCCAACTCTCTTTGCAGAACACCCAATCCCTGTTCCCTGCATCTCCCTCCTGCATAATCTGTTTTTCTTTTTCTCCTTGTAGCTGGAAATCAGCTCATAGACAATATGTGGGCTATATATATTTTTTTTTAATAATTACAGTCTTGTTCGCGAGAACTCGGGTCTGACGCACGCGGGTTCTCGCGTTATTTCCTTATCACTTCTCGCACGTGTTTTGTTGTGAAACGTAGTTTGCGGACCAGACAGAGCTGTCGGCGATTCTTCCTATTGTGAAGTCATGCAGTGTGTAACCTCCTGTCGCCGATCCATCGTGCAATGTGAACACAGCAGCAACTGAATGCTACCCCAGATAGCCACGCAGTGTGAAAACAACGGCGATCCGACGAGTTTGAAAATTGTGCAGTGTGAACTCGGCATAGAAGTCAGAATTTCTAAAAAAAAAATTGCTACAATTTTGTGCAAACGAACCTACATTTTGAAATTCAAATCTTTAGTGGCAAATTCAAACTTAGTGGCACATTTTTCAGCCTGAATTTTGCCACCTAAACGCTGAGACCTGAATTTACAATTCAGATTCCACAACTAAACAATAAGATTGAATTTCAAAGGTGATTTCACACAAAATAGTGACTAATATGCAAAGCTCCCTCTAATTTTCTTTCTTGTTGAGCAAAAACTGTCTCTCTTGTGTGGACATTTCAGCCTGAGCAGAAACATTCTTTATACCAGACCTGTACATTGCACAAGTGTGTAACTTTTAACCTTAATGGACTATTTATATTTGATTTGACCCTTGATGCAACTAAATGATGCACATTTAAGGTTACTTGAGAAAAATTTTCTCATAATAAAATATAATATAATATAAACATTTTCAATAAATATCAAAAAACGAGAACATGTGAATTCTTTTACAGTTATCTAAACATCCCCATGCAGTAGAGTTTGCACACTACTACACCTGTGTGTAACTATAAATGTCTCTGCGTTTTGTTACCGTTCTGTGCCCATCATCCGCTATTTCCACCACTTAATCAAGCCACTCTACTTTAAAGCATGACTTTTTATTTCACACATCATTACGTTCACGTTGCTCTCGTGTTGAGCTATTTTGTCTGCAACCATTAAAGTATTCGACTCTACATTCTACAGCGACTCATTTGGCGCACATCATTCTCTTTCTATGAAACCTGTAAACCGCATTCACCGGTTCGAACTCTATAATGGCAGTTATTTTGCATTTACTAGAATTCAATCTAAAATCAAAAAAAAAGCTTTCCCAACTCATTTTTGCGTTTGTCCTGTGTGCGGCATATTTTTTCTTCTGCGCGGTCACTGCGTGCGCAGCTTAGAGGGAACATTGCTAAAATGTACGTTTCATGGCTAAAATCTTTAGCAACATCAAACTAATTATATAGCCCCCCCCCCAACCAAGAATTTAAGTCTGGTGAGACTTAATTGTGTATTTCCCAATTTTTCAGAACTGCATCAACAAGCATATATTTGTTCTTCAATCAACAGTATAACAATAAATAAACCCACAAACAAAGATAACTTGAGAGATACTGCACTCACTTTCTCCAGTCGCCTCTGCATATCCAGCCACCTCTTCATCAGTCTGCCATAGAGAACAAGACACATAAGAAAAGGAATTAAATTACTCTTAAAAAGCTCACAGATCAGTACAAGAACAGAAGACAATGATTTTATGATCAAATCCCATCCAGAGATCCTCTGAATAACATGACATCCAAACCAGCACAGGAACTGCACATCTGACCCTCAATGAGTTTTCACACCCGAGAATGCTTATTTTTTATTTAAATATTCAATCAAGCTGGAATTTATTATTTAAAAGTAGTTGAATAAAAAAAAAAAATCTCTGTATGTTTACTTTGATTTTCAATCTTCTCGAAACAAATGTTTTTCTCCAATACTTTTTGCAACCTCTGATCTGAATAAGATGTCCAGCAAAAAATTCAAAATAAAATTGGCTTACATCATTAAAGATCTGGCAGTATATTTAACCATGGACATGGGGTACTTCTTATTCCTGTGGATCCCTTTAAATCTATACTGTGCGTGCTAAAAAGCTTTTTTTATTTAGTTTCATCTGATCACAGAAGCCGGTCCCATTTGAAGTGCCAGTAGTGTCTGGCAACTGAATGTCCTGGAGTTTGTTTTGGGTTGAGAGCAAAGGATTTTTTTTCTTGAAACCCTCCCGAACAAGGTTTTCTGATCATTAAGACTGAGCTAATTTCTTCAATTCTCCAGCTGTGATCCTTGGAGAGTCTTTGGCCACTCAAACTATCAGGCAGATTTCTAACATCTCCAGTTGACTGGAACTAGTTTTTAATACTTTGCTATTTTCTATTTTGTGAAGCTCAACAATCTTTTACTGCACATCAGAACTACATTCTGTAGTTTTACTCATTGTGATGGATGATTAAAGAAATTTTGTTGCACAAAGCCCTGCTGATTTAAAGCCATATCGCACGGAGGGTCTTAAAAACCCTTTTGTGTGCGGAACTACATTCTTCCGCCACAGATTGAAATCTTCCTTCCACCTTCTGTCACCCTGTTTTTAGATTTTTTAATTATTGCTTTTGAATTGTGTCGCTTTCAAAATAACGCACCTCCCCAACCAGTTTCTCATTACTGCAATGCAATGCATTTTCTTTTATTAAATTCAGCACAAAGTAAACAAATACTACAAGTCGTATACTTAAAATTGTGCATAATGAATGTACATAATTTAAATAAGATACTATAATGTTTTTCTGAATTTAAGTAAATAATTAATTTTGAGTAGGTTGCTGAGAATTGAAGGCCCATTAAAAGCATTTAATTATTGTGAGAGCAATGTCAAAAAATGTAATAGTCTTGAAAATAGGCTTCATGTTTTTGATGCAAAATTAAAAAAGATTACAAATGTATTTTTTTCTTTAGATTTTAGGGTGAAAATATGACACTTCTTGGCAGTAATTTTAGGAGTTTCACTGAGCTAATTAAAACAAAAGCTGTGAGGTTCCTTGCATTTGAACAAACACACCGCAGAAAACTGGGAACTTGACAGTTTGTGTGGTGATTGCTGTGATTAAAAGAGTTCTGAGCTGTTTAACAGAAAAACCTTAGGCAGTAACTTGCCACTTTTTTAGCATTAGAGATGAGATGAAAAAGCGAGTGTGTGAGTGTGTGTGTGTGTGTGGGAGGAGTGCAGGGCGCCGCTGATGAGCGTGTTTGTGATGTGGGCAGGCCAGCCGGTCTGATGACTCACTGGCAGAAAGAGAGAGAGAGAAACGATACACAGATCCACAAGCCTAGAGCAAACAAGCTCTAACTTGGACCTCTCAGGCCACAAATCCTAGCCATAGCCACTGAGTAAACGACAGTCCCAATATTACCATTAGTGCTTGATCACTATGGGTTTTTTTTCAATGATTGTTAATTTTTTTTTATATTTGGACCCTCCAGTCTTAAATATGGCCTACATGCAAATCACATCAGAAGAGAGCTTTTTAATGTTGGTTTCTTTTCATGAACCATCATAACCATAAAATCCTGATATATCACCATATATTAGTTTTTTTTTTTTTTTTTACCTAATTGCAGCATATAAAGCCAGATTTTGACTGCTGTTTACCATTTACCTTTTCAACCGCTACACTGGCAGTAACTAGAACACACGATGAAGCTGATTGGCTAGAAGGCTATTTCTACTACAAATGCTTCTTCACGGGAGTACTGCCAGCTATATTCCATATTCTATGGAATTTAATACTGTATACTATGGTAAAAATGGGATTACTATGATATATAAAAATATATGGCACTACTATGGTACATGTCCAAAAAATTTATTACCACATGGAAATTTCCAGAAAAAAAAGTATTACATTTACATTTAGCAGACACTTTAACCACTTAACCAAAGTGAATTCCAAAGGAGGATCAAAGAGTCAATATTCGTATTTATAATTATTTTGCATTGAAGACCTTTGAGTGCAATTTCTTCCATTGCATGTTTTTGCTCTTACTCTATTACTTTTCTCTCTCTCTGACCATGGAGGATATTTTCTCATGAATATCAGTCTGCCTCTCATTCATTAGCTGTGCAGACTGAACAGCAGCGAAGGTCGTGCTGTGGATGTTTGCCTTGTTTTTGTGTGTGGAGGAGCCGTGGGCGCTGCAAGAAGTGCTGTATGCATGATTTCAGCAGACTCCCCTGTCTCATAACGCAGCACAAGCTGCTGGATGAGACGCTTGTCCTCTTGTGTCTCATCTACATTGCCTTCCGTAATTGTTGGTAAAAAAATCTCATAGTTTTAAATGAGCAAAAATAAACCCATAAAAAAAACTACTGTCAGGGGACTATGGTAAAGTGATGGTAACAGATACCATATGTCTAATATATAGTATGCTACTAAATGAATAATGTATTAAATATACTTTGGAATATAATACCATATACTATAGCATTTTCATGGTACTCAAATGCACTTCAAAGAATACTAAGGTGCAGGAAAAAAAAATGGCACTACCATTGTACATGTCCAAAAACATGACATTGTGAATGTCCAATAATAATATTACCATGGTGAATATGGTACTACCTCTAAAAAACTCTAACTATGTCTAAAAACATGGTTAAAACATAATACAAGTCCAAATACATGGGAATAGCAAGCTACATGTCCAATAACATGGAATTTAGAATGCTGTATGTCCAAAAACATGGAACTTACATGCTACATGTCAAAAAACATGTAGTATGCAACATGGCCAAAGACATGGTTCCAACATGCTACATGTCCAAAAATGGAACTAACATGTTACACAGCATTACCGAATGACAACAAACATAACCTGCACATTAAACAGTGCAAACATCCATAACACAAACCTCTACCATTATTATGTAAATAAGTTTAACCACTGATATAACAGATGGGAGAAGATTAAAGGAAAATCCGGTGGCTCTTGGGGCTTTTTGCTGGCATAGTTTCCCTTCTTTGAGGGCAGAGTCACTTCAAATTAATAATAAGTTGTTCTGACTGATCACTCGTATCCTATGATGAAACATTTCTATCCTAATGAAAGTGCCCTTGTGAAAAAAAGTGCTTGTATTTAATGTGCATCTTGTAGTGTACTTAGTAATTTAAAAAAAAAAACTACTTTAAGATGAAATAAAAGGTCACTTAAGTGTACATGATTTAAATACACTTTAAGTATACTTTTAAAATGTGCACGTTGCAATGATGTCAAATTAAAAGTTTGTGTAACTGCACATATATTTTAATACATGACATATTTGTCAGTACATTCTGAACTTTAACCTCATTTAAAAGGCAATGGGATTGTGAAATTACATATAAAGATGAATTTAAGTGCTACTTAAATGGATCAATGTGTTAGACATTGCCAGTGTTGGGGGTAACGCATTACAAGTAACTCAAGTTACGTAATCAGATTACTTTTTTAAAAGTAATTAGTAAAGTAGCACATTACTTTTAAATTTACAATGGAATATTTGAGTTACTTCCTATACTATAAGTACTTTATATTTCCATTTATTCACTGACACTTCTCCTGTCCCTAAGAAATTCGGAGTGAGGTAGAGGCACTTCCTTCAGCCTGAGGCTTATTAATTTAACTTTTGGTGTGAAAGGGCCTTTACAGTTTTGTTTATTAAAAACAAATTAAGACCAGCCCAGGAGACAAAAAATAATGCAAAAGTAACAAAATGCATTACTTTCCATAGTAACGCAATTTTTTATGGAGTAACACAATACTGCAGTCCACCTCAATCATCAAAACCATCCCGGGCAGAGTTCCAGAGACTTGTAGAATCAATGGGCACATGGTGACCCAAGAACTCAATTGGCAAGACATTTTATTTTCCTTTAATTTATCATCCGTCTGTATGTCAGTAGAATGTTATGGGTTGCTAAAAACATGAAGGTATAGAACAAGAATGAGGTCATAAATATTTTGTCTTGTACTAAAGCTTTTCTGCAGTGTAGATGGATGTTTTAATCCAAGTGGTTGGCAAACAGAACCAAGCCAGTATGGCTTGAGCCAAGATCCTGCTAAACACAATCGCACAATGAGCTGAAGACTGCTTTGAGATCTGTTCTCATCTACAGAAGTGTTTTTCCCTGTGTGATGCTGACGGCACGGAGAGTTCGCTGTCAGCAGCACCACTGATGGACACAGATGAAAGGGTCACGGTGGGAATGTGGTTTGATCCACAGCCATAAACACTCCTCACACCATCCTCCACGAGGACAGCCATGATTTTAACCAAATATAATAGAGAAAGCATTACAGCATCTCAATGGAAATGCACAGAGAAGCAACAGATTCAGGAATTTAGTTTGACAGACACGTAGCAACAGGGAGGGTCTAATTGGTTGGCCGCTTTCATGTAACCCTGACGTATCTGTTGGTAGATAGTGAGAACCCTCTGAATAGAAGATAACACATGGCTCTCTGTTTTGTGTGTGTGCGCGCGGTTGGAGATGAGGACGAGGTGAAAGGAAAAAGCAAGTGAAGAGAACAAGACACTCCCAAAAAGAGAGCAAAAGCAATCCGAACAATCCATGGCAGGAGCACTGATGGTTCCTTATAGTTAAGCTTATTTTGAACTGTGCATGAATCTATGAAGCTGAATATAGAGTTATGATCTTATTTATATATAGAATTAGAGACGGAATTAACTCTAGAATTCTCTTGTGAGGCATCTATATAGAGAACACACAAAAAAGTAATTTTGAAAAGAGTTGGTAACAAACATTGTTATCTTTGACTAATTGTATTGACATTAAAAAAACACTGAGGCATTTTATATACATATTTTGTGTATGTTCTATAAAAGAAACTAAGTCATGCAGGTTTGGAACATCATGAGGGTAAATGATGACAGGATTTTAATTTTGGGGTGAATTATCCATTTAAGAGTTTATTTTCTACAAGGTCAAAATGAAGCCAAATATCCATATTTCCAGAAACACCCATGATGTATATTTTATATAGTAAAGGGGCATTCTGGACCGTCATATGTAACTGTAAGGTGATTAAGTTTGCGGTTAAACTTGACATGCATTGTAAGTGCAATACTTGTAACATGTTGATTTTGACCCCTTTTACATTTCCAGTGTTACCGTACGTATTTAAGGCTGTCTAGAGTCTATCGGTGTTATTTCAGTATCACTGAGATTATATATATATATATAACTCTTTTGAATTGGAATCCAGAGTCCGCATGCATTACATCACATAAGATCAAAGAATGTGTATGCACTGTATTGAGCTCTATATGAGATAATGCAATACTAAAAGAACCTCTCTTTACAAGCTCTTTCAGAGACAGTATCTGAGTGGGGATTATGTATGTATACCATTATGTACTCTATAGCACATTCTTCCTGACCTTGAGAAAAGAGATGATCTAAAACAATCCCTAAATACACACATCGCGTTATAGAGCCGTCTCATTATATCTGTATCATACACACTCAATGACTCAGAAACATTGATTAAGCATCCATATTGAAGGTCAGCGGCTATGTACCAGTTATTAATGCAATAATGAGTTTGTGCTATTGAAATAACCCAACAAATATACAGGGCATTCTTCTGTGGCTTTTCTTTAAAAGACTATTCCAAAAATAGTTCAAATAGCATACTGATAATGAATGTCAAGGACTTTGGCTTAAGCTTCATCCAGACAAAAGCTAATGCAGGAGAAAGAGTCATTCATAATGACCGTCCGCTAATGCAGGACTGTCACTCAGCAAGCATTTCCATTAAACACAGCATCTCGCACTCACTCAGTCTGCCTGCCTATAACAGCCCTTCAGCAGTTTCATCTGAGCCTAATCTGAGATTCCAATGTTTTCATAATCAAATAAAGGGGTGAGACAGATGGGACATTTTCTGACACGCTAATGATGCTCTAAATGCTATTTTGATTTCACAATAACAGCCGCATTAAACTAGCGTGTTTTACTGGATTAAGAATTCGTAGTACACTGTAAAAAGGATTTCAGTCTTTCTACTTCACGTTTAATTCAATGTGTTACTCTTTGTAATTATTTGTAAGATATTTACTAGCAATTTCGGAGTGAAAATTGTAAATCCTACACTGAAAAAAAAAGCGTTGTAGAAACAATTTTAACTCCGAAATGGCTAGTAAGTTCATAATTAATTGCAAAGAAATAGCAAGTAACACGTTAAATGAAATTTTACATTTTTAAAGTAGAAAGACAATTTTTGTATTGTCGTTTTCTTGTATTTTTTTTGTAAAATGTACTCCATTAGTCTTCATAAATTCTTCAAAAAATCGTGTACACCAATTTTTAAGTGCAACCAACAAAGAAAGAAGTGCTCAACCCAAGGCCAGTGTGTGGATTTAGAAAAAAAAGGACATTTTCATACCTGTTCATCAAATTTGATGGGAACATCTGCCAGGCTGCTGCTGTCTGCTAACAGACTGAGGTCGAGCTCACTGGGTCCTACAGAGAAAAGCAAAAGATACAATCAAGCTGTAAGAAAAGACGTTGGGAAAAAAAAAAAAAAAAAAAAAGCATATATTGACGTCTGTGATTCAAAGAGAAAAAATACAGCAAAGCCTTGTGTGAAAATAAAGACAGTCTTGGTCATCCAAACTACTGTCCGTCATTGAAATGAAGTGCTGCTGTACACTGACGGTTCTTTATTGTTCTGTACCAGTAATTGCAGAAGGAACCCTGGTGTAACGGGGCTGACGAGACGTGAGAATCCATATGCAAAGCTTTATTTGGAGAAGACAGGGACATGGTCATAAGACAGGCAGGGTAAACAGTGGCAACCAGGAATATGGCGGGCAAGACACAAGAATAATCCTAGGGCTAGCGTGGGTCGACGATAGGCAGACAGAGGCAAGGCTAAAGGGAGAAGTCCAGGAAAACAGGCGAAGATCAAAACCGAAGGAGACAGACAAGGCAAAACTAAGCTAAGACTAAGGCTAAGGTCGAAACAGACAAGGCAAGGCAAAACTAGGCTAAGGCTGAAACCGAAGGAGACAGACAAGGCAAGGCAAAACTAGGCTAAGGCTAAGAAACGGCTTAGGGTTCTGTAGAGTAGCTATCGCTAGGAGAGTGATAAATCGCTAGACAATACTCGGCAGAGGGAAGGAAACAGAGTGAGTGTTAAATAGTGAGGGAGTGATATGAAACAGCTGGGTGCAATCAATGTAAACAGCTGTGTGCAATTCGTGCTGAGTGCAATCAGTACAATAAATGATGGGATATGTAGTCCGGAGAGATGTGCAACAGTGTGTAGTGCGAGAGTCAATGAAATTGGAAGTTCATGGACCGGATTCGTGACAGTACAAGAGTGAAAACATGAATTAAAAATGAACAATAGTATATTTATTAACATTAACCTAAATTAATAAATGCTGTAAATAATTCTTATTAGTTTTGTTAGTTCACTTTTTCTTTAAAGAAAAACTTTTAACACTTTAGTGACCAATTCTAGTTGCTTATTAGCATTATTAACATATTGACTGTTTATTAGTATTGTAATGCACTTATTCCGCATGACCGTATTCTACATCCCTAATCCTACCCAATACCTAAACTTAACAACTAACTTACTAACTATTAAGACAGTAGACCACCACGGCGGAGCAGAGGACCACCACGGCAGAGGCCCACCAGAACCAGACAGTAGACCACCACGGCGGAGAGCAGAGGACCACCACGGCAGAGCAGAGGGGACCGAAGATCCCCACGGCGGAGCAGAAGACCACCGGAGCCAGACAGTAGACCACCATGGCGGGGCAGAGAACCACCACGGCAGAGCAGAGGACTCTTTAAGGTTTCCTCCTCAAAAGGTACCCTAAACGCTAACTCACAGAACTGAGTGACGTATTCCTCAATAGGTGAACTCCCCTGTCGTAAATCGAACAGCCGGTCGATTGGGTCCGTACTTGGCCAAAGTCCCTTAGGCTAAGGGCTCTGTAGAGTAGCTATCGCTAGGAGAGTGATAATCGCTAGACAATACTCGGCAAAGGGAAGGAAACAGAGTGAGTGTTAAATAGTGAGGGAGTGATATGAAACAGCTGGGTGCAATCAGTGTAAACAGCTGTGTGCAATCCGTGCTGAGTGCAATCAGTGCAATGAATGATGGGATATGTAGTCCGGAGAGATGTGCAACAGTGTGTAGTGCGAGAGTCAATGAAATTGAAAGTTCATGGACCGGATTCGTGACACCTGGAGTCCTTTCAGTAGCGTAGGCAACAATCACAAAGGTTTCTGTGTCACAAAGATTTCCCATGTGTTCATTAGTCATTCATCTGTGGCACGAGTACATGTTTCCTGAGCAAAGGAATAGATATTGAAACTGCTATACTGAACTGGCTGCTGTCTACACAGTTACTTAGAAGTTTTTTACACAGTTACTTAGAAGTCGAGACGGTCATATTTGCAATGATTCTCTTGATGGGATGTTTTTATTTTATTAACTGACAACCCTTTTTTGTGGCCGGTACTTAGTAAAGAAAAGCCTATAGCTTAGAAAATCACACTGAAACACATGTGGCTTTACATAACAGTGTTTGGACACACAATTTCAGCTATTTCAGTTTCAGTTCAACATTCTACTTCAAAATTTCACTTTTAATTCAATGTTTTCCTTGCTGTTTCTTTGTAATTCTGAAATTTACTGGCAATTTCTGAGTCAAATTGTTTGTACACCATTTTTTTCCACCACTGTGTATAAACGTCATTCATTACATAGGAAAATATACAAAGGAAATGTCTAAAGAAAAAAATTTATTTTTGATAAAAAGCGTTTTAAAACTTGAAATACTATTTGGACACTTTCTGCTTGTCAGACCTTAGTGGATCATGTTCATATTTCATGTGATTAAGAATACCTGTGGTTATTCTGGAAGAAAACCTGTGTGAAATGGAAGAAAACTGACTTTAAACATCCACTAAAAATCACCTTGAAAACAATTGGTTAAAATGAATTGGAAAAATGGCTCTGCGAAAATACACATCCATAAACATCACTGTAACGCACAGCCTCGAGTGACTCACTGGTTTTACACAACAGAACTGAGAGCATTATGATCAAACACACCCAGGTTCAATAAAGTTATATATTTATATCAAATAATCCTTACATACATTTGTTTTCCTCCATGTGATATAGCTCATTAGCTGAACTGTAGGCTGTGTGCAGTTGCCAAGCAATACATTGACTCTACTTCTAGATTTGGGATCAGTAAGCATAACATCTCAATTGGACTTAACAACTGGGAGACTATAAATTGAAGGGGAAAAAAGCATCAGATACTAAAACATCAATATACAACAGTCCTTGATAATTTTAAGAAAAACAGCATTTTCCAAGATAAATGTTTTTCAATATGTTATTAGAGACTTGTTACTTGGAAATATAGCCTGTAATATATTTAGCAAATTTGAAGTATCTTAAATAAAACTTGAAAAGATGCTTCTACTGATAGTGTGATAAAATCTACATCACAAAATGTTGATTATTTATTCAAGAGCATAGAAGTTTTTAGGAAGGTTAAAAATGGAAACGGAATTTGTTATTCCCATTGGCTTCATTTTTTTTTTAGTTCCAAAACTGATTATGTCCAAGTGTTTTCAACCTTTCACTGAGATTTTAATGAGTTTTTTCTTTTTTATTAAAATCGATGGACATTTGTCCATTTTTAAATAGCATAACAGATCTGGATAATAATATGTATGATATTTCGCTGAATAAATAGCAGCTGTCCAGAGGAAAATAGGTCTCAACTGCAAGAAATATTTCTTAGAAATTCTGACAGATCAGTGATTTTGACATGAAGCCTTTGTCACAGGGATCTAGGGCTGGGCGATATAGCAAAAAAAAATTATCAACGATATAATGTTTCATATCATTCGGTAACGATAATTATTGAAAATTTTTAAATAGAAAAAATGTTTAAATTTAACCACTGTATTTTAAAATTAAAAACATTTATTGAGACATCAATAAACAATCATTGTGTTAACAATCAAACACAAAATAAAAATTAAATATCTAATTTCTAATGTTTTATATGCAGATTAAATAGGTCTTAAGGAAACTTTTGTCTTCTCTCCCGAGGCCACAGAATGGCGCAATGAGCAAAATAATGCAGCGCATTTAAATTGTCAACGCAAGGAAGTAACTCTATAAAAAACCGTGCATTACGTCTAAATTAACTCATAAAAATCAAATATAATTTCGTAATTTGCATAAACAATTATGAACAAAACAGCATCATGTAAATAAATATGCATTGCTTATTTGTGACGTGTTTTCTAAAAGTTTAAACTGTTTTAATTTTGCATGGCTTTCTATACATCTCTTGTGTGAGACGTGAGTGCAACAGTCATATTTGTCCGCCTAAAAAATGCGCTGAATATGCGTTCTGTGTGAATGGCTTGGTCAAGATCAAGATCTTCTCCGCATTGAGCTTCAATATTTCTCTAATATTTTGAATGAATAACGCAGCAGCGGCGCGTCTCGTGGGCTAGACTAACAAAACATTCAAATGAAACAACGTCACTTACATCACTCACCGCATCTCGTGTGCCACTGATGACGCTCCCTGATGCACACCTAACATTCAAATGCAAATGTCTGTTTTAAATTCGACTAATATTCATTCTTTTTTCACAATCTCCTCATCACAGACAGCAACAGCACTCATTTCAGCATGTGTTCGTGTTTGTGTGTGCTGTCTGCGTCACTCATAGCACATGCCAATATCGTGCGCTATATCGAACAATTTTTTCTATCGTTACCGAAGAAGGTGTACCGTCGATAAATATCGATACCGTTTTATCGCCCAGGCCTGACCTCGGTCATGTGGTAAAAATGTATCCATGAAAGCATCTGTTATGAGTTGTGATTCAGCTCAGCGCTGCAATACCACAGGCTGGAAGAGGCTGATGCCTTTTGACACCAGTCTCCTCTATAATAGATGCTACGCTGTAGCATCCCCTGACACCACCAGTCCCTGTCCTCCAGTGCTAAACCAAAAGTGACAGCATCTTCTCTTACAGAAAGACTGTCCTTTTTCATACTGTTTTCCCTCCGTGAAGTCATCTGAACGAGTCTTATGGGAAGAGCAGCTGTCTGACGAACTGTTCCTCGTACTATGAAGGAGATGTGGTGGGATTATGTATTAAGGCAGAGACTTTGCACCTGAGACCACAGGAAGTAATGGAACATTTCTTGCCACAGTAGGATTGTGAGTCACAGAAATCTATTTGTTGATGCAGACGTGGCATTATTGGAGGAGCATTTGAGGAATCGTGCGAGTGGGCGGCAGGGTCAGTCCTGTGATGCAGTACCTTTTGAACTCTGCCACCGCTAATAAATGAACATGCCTGAAGTATTTCTATAAAAGGGCAACAGACTTACAGAAATATGCTCTGGTTCTTCTCAGCCACTATTATGGCAAAACTTGAAGATAAGAAAA